GGGGGGGGGGGGGGGTGTAGACCAGTTATAAAACATACATCAAACCCTATGATCTTCTTTTACCACAATTGCGGGCATTCAAAAATTCCACTTTCAGTATATCAAAAACAGAAAAATATTTGTATTCTCAGATAGATTGTTCTCCAGTTAACTAGCCTTCTTACCAAATAAGGAAGCAACTAGTGATACAAGACGCTCTTCCAGTTCTTCTTTGTAGCGTTTCTTGTTAAATTCCACTTTCAGTATATCAAAAACAGAAAAATATTTGTATTCTCAGATAGATTGTTCGCCAGTTAACTAGCCTTCTTACCAAATAAGGAAGCAACTAGTGATACAAGACGCTCTTCCAGTTCTTCTTTGTAGCGTTTCTTGTTAAATTCCACTTTCAGTATATCAAAAACAGAAAAATATTTGTATTCTCAGATAGATTGTTCGCCAGTTAACTAGCCTTCTTACCAAATAAGGAAGCAACTAGTGATACAAGACGCTCTTCCAGTTCTTCTTTGTAGCGTTTCTTGTTCTTTTTGCTCAGAGGTATCTGACAGTCAAAACATTTAAGCATAATAAGTTATATGAGTCAGTGATAGAACAAGGTAAAAAAACACCACATCATCCTAATAGCTCATTGAGATCAAGCAATAGAAACTCTTCCATTTGAGGAGAACTTGAGATACTTTTTTCTGTTAGTTTTTCATCTACTATATCTCATTAGTAAAACTGCTGATTTTACAATAAAAATGATATCAAATTAATGTTATGCAACAAATAGCCAAGCTCAGTAACAATCCTTATAAAGAAATAAGCTTACTAACAACTTGATAAGGGGAAGAACACAAACAACGAGATATCCTTAACTAGTCATGGAATTTTTTTAAACCATATCTGTAAAGCAGAACAAATAACATTCTACTCCATTCATCAACATCTTCAATCCTACCACAAGAATTGTTTACGAGACAATCTTTGAGAAAATTAACAAATTAATCAATCAACCAACTTTATCTCAGTCCCAAACTGATCGGGGTCCACTATGAATCCTTTATATCCATTTTTATCATAAAATTAAAAATTAGCCAATCAATCAAAATGCAATCAACTATGTCTCAATCCTAAACCAGCTGCGGTCTACTATATGAATCCTTGATATCCGCTCAGCTAAGCCAATGAACATATTAATCAGTCAATCAACTATGTCTCAGCCCTATATCAATTGTGGTTGACCATATGAATCCTCTTATACCATTCTGCTCAGTAAAATTAGTACGATGTCAAATCTAATGAAATTTGGAGAAAAAGGGAACTTGACTTGCCTTACCCATGAAAGCTGGAAAAGCAGTCTTTAACCCCATTACATCCACAAACCTCTCACATGCTGGAGGATAATTAGTCATAGCAAAATCTAAAGCCCTTATAGCCGACCCATAACACATTTTCTTCTGATTCATTATAATGATCATCAATTCTACTCCTTCAGATTTCACAAACCTCTCCTTATTCTCCAACGGCATTAACAAACAGCACAACGCGTCAAACAAGTTCTCCACCATCTCCTCCTCATCTGGCGACTTAGGGTCCTTTGATTTATACATTGCCACAGCTTGTAACAACGCATCCACGCCGTTCAATTGCCCTAATCTCTTCTGATTCCCCGTGCTGCTCTGCAGCAGAATCGCCAAAATTTCCGATGCATACTGCTTGTTTCCATCAAATTCTCTAACTTTTATCCTTGTCAATAACCACTTCATTAACTTCGTCCTTTCGCATACGAGCTCAGCCACCGAGGTTTTCACTTCGATGAAATTCTCAATAGTCGCGAGTATACTGTAAATGGCGGCGGACTCGTCGGGATCGGAATCGGATAATTTTCCTAGAAGCTGAACGAGTAATTCTAATGCATTGTTCTCGACCAATGCATCAACTAAGACTTGCGCCGGCTCGTCGTTGTCCTCGAGAACATCCTCATCAGTTAGGTCTTGTAATAAGCCGACAACGTCAATAGCGATATCCGTGTTTTCGTGATTGAGGAGGCTGGTGATTGAAGCAACGGTGCCGAGATTGACAAGTTCCGGGTAAAACTCTGGGCCTCCGGCGACGATTTTAAGCTTTTCGATTTCTTCATGGAGCTCGACTTCGGAATCCGCGAACTTCTCGGGTTGGTCCGGGTACTTGAGACGGGCAGCAATATTTTCCTTAAGACGTCGTTCGAATGAAAGGACGAATTTTTTCACTGTTTTGAGATCGAGAGCTTCCACGGGGTTTTGTTGAGATTTTTCTAGGGCTTCGAGTAGTGATAGGTCAATGCCGCCGTTTGACGCGGCGGAGGATGGCGGCGGCGGTCTGAAGGTTTCATATTCATCATCTTCATATTCGGCAGAGTTTCGCTTGCGTTTTGCTGCTTCCATGGCTTCTGGCAAAACCCTTGGCTACCCAGTTCCCAGTAGCAGAAGAGCTTCCCCGAACTTCTCAAACACAAATCATATTTGCCTTTTTACCCCTCATCTAGTTCAGTTTTAGCACTTTGTACCCCTTCCTTTTTCTATTTGATACTTCGACACCTCTAAAAGCTCATTTTGCCCAATCCATTCATTTGGATAGTATATGGATTGGTCTTTATTCGAGTCACAATCACCAAATTTTGTGATTAGATATTTAGGATTCGTCTTCACTCTTCTCGTAAATAGAGATGCAATATTAGTTAGAACTTTGAAAGTTGGATAAATGGCTAAAAAGATGAGCTGAAATAAGTGTATAGGTATTTTATTATTATTTTTACACGTGTATACGGTCAAAATCGGTTTCAACCTTCATATGATTAGTCAAAATTGAAACATAATGGACCGAAGGTCATCTTCATAATATCAGGTATGAGATCCGAATCCAGGTTACCGAACTCAAATTTATGGGACCAATCAAATATCGTACTCGAAGTCATTACCGAGCTCGAATCCAAATCGAACTATGATGCGAAGCGGCTTTATCGAGCTTGAGTCAATATCGAGCTCGAGTCAATATCAAGCTCTAAATCTGGAAACCAACCAATACCAAGTTCGATCAAGATCGAGCCAAGAGACAAGAGTCGTTACAGTCGCACTAAGGGGAGAGAATCTCAGCGGGAATTAGGGAAAAACTATTCTACCATAAGTTCCCCACTATGTATTTTTAATTATATCCAAAGTAGGATCCCTCCACTATAAGAGAGGTGGCTATTATTTCTGTAAAGCATCCAAGATTAAGGCATTGATACACTCTTATATTTTTTATATTCATAGAGAAAAATATACTGATATTCATATAGAGATTATCCTTTTTTGGGGTTTTGTATATTGATTCGTCTTACTTGTTCATAAACCATTTTCCATTCAGTTTGGTTCGTATTTCATTCTTTATACAGCCAATACTCAATATATTTCTACTTACTTTCCGATTTGTGCCAAGTTATACCACGTAACCTTAGAACTACGTATAAATTCAACTCTATCCATTTTTTGGGTAAACAATTTGGCACCCACCGTGGGGCTAAGGATAACAATGGTTGTTTGGTACAAATCTCTACAAAACACACCATTTTACACTTGCTCTTGGAAGTATCTTTAATTTCAGGTTGAAAACGATGAACTCTCAATTAATGGCCCTACCTATCGACAACGAAGTTGGCCTTCAAGATGAGAATAACAACTTAACCCCCCGGGGGGAAGGCCACTCGTTGATCCCGTTGGAGCTCGGGTCGAAGAGCCAATAGATGTCAATTCACATGCAGCCATCGAGGTGAACCAACGTTCCGACCCTGAAAATAGCATTCATGGTGGAACTCGGTCTGTAGCTCAAAATATCCAAAACGCTGAGGAAAACGGAATCAGCTTGCGTATGATCTTCGAGATGTTACAAGCTCAACAAGTAGCAATAGCCCAGTTGCAGAGCCAAACTCAGGCACCGACCAGACTCGAGCCCAGTCCCCCCCTCCCCCAAGAAGTCGCCCACAAAACGGGCTAGCTATAGTAAGGTCAAATGAGCAAGAATCGAGGACTAATCCCGAAATTGTTAAGATGCTCGGAGAACTGACAAAACGAATAGAGTTAGGAGAAAGGAGGATCGAGGCAAACGACAAGAAAGTGGAAACATATAACTCTAGGGTTGATCAGATCTTGGGGGCACCACCGATATTGAAGGGCTTAGATTCCAAAAAATTCATACAAAAGCCTTTCCCCCCGAGCGCGGCTCCTAAACCGATCCCAAAGAAGTTTCGCATGCCCGAGATTCCTAAATATAATGGAACGACCGACCCCAATGAACATGTCACCTACTACACAGGTGCCATCAAAGGGAACGATCCAGAGGACGATGAGATCGAATCTGTATTATTGAAAAAATTCGGCAAAACCCTGTCAAGGGGAGCAATGATATGGTATCATAATTTACCATCTAACTCTATCGATTTTTTTGCTATGCTTACAGATTCTTTCATAAAAGTACATGTTGGGGCCATAAAGGTCGAGACCGGGAATTCAGACCTATTCAAGATAAGACAAAAGGATAACGAGATGCTAAGAGAATTCGTATCTCGTTTCCAAATAGAACGAATGGATCTACCACAAGTCACAGACGATTGGGCTGTTCAAGCTTTCACTCAAGGTCTAAACGAACGAAGCTCGATGGCTTCACGGTGGCTGAAGCATAACCTGATCGAGTACCCAGCTATTACTTGGGCCGATGTGCACAATCGGTATCAATCCAAAATAAGAGTCGAAGACGACCAATTGGGTTTTGGGTCCGATATTAAAAGGGATATCGACCGAGAACCAAGGTCAAACAAAGATCGATATCAGTCGTATAACAGAGATCGTAGGGGTAGCGAACCTTCACGCAACCCCATACGAGGTAAAAAGAGAAACGATCGAAGCCAAGGGTCTCGGGGGCTGATGAACAGGAATGGGTTCGACAGGCATACCGGACCCAATGAAGCACATCGGTTATTGGAGTATAACCTCATCATTGATGCATCCGCTATCGTGTCGGCTATCGGACGCATCAAAGATACTAAATGGCCTTGACATATATAGATTGATCTTGCCCAGAGGAATCCCAATCAAATATGTAAATATCATGGCACTCATGGCCACAGAACAGAAGATTGCAGGCAACCAAGAGAGGAGGTAGCCTGGTTATTCAATAAAGGACATCTTCGAGAATTTTTAAGTGACATGGCCAAAAACCATTTCAAAACAGGGATTTCAGGAGACAAAACGAACAAGAAGAGCCACAACACATCATTCACATGATCATGGGTGGGATCGATACCCCCAGGGGCCGGTGCTTAAGCGCACTAAGATGTCGATTGTAAGAGAAAAGTGATCCCGGACTCAAGATTACACCCCTGAAGGAACACTGTCCTTTAATAATGAAGACACGGAAGGAATCATGCAACCACATAACGATACACTGGTAATATCTGTACTTATGAATAAAACTCAATTTAAACTTGTGTTAATTGATTCAGGTAGTTCGGCCAACATCATTCGATCGAGGGTCGTAGAGTAACTCAGTCTTCAGGACCAGGTCGTGCCTGCAACCTTAGTACTAAATGGATTCAATATGGCATGTGAAACTACTAAGGGCGAAATAATCATGCCAATTAACGTGACATAAACCATCCAAGAAACGAAGTTCCACGTGATCGAAGGCTATATGAGATACAACGCCCTGTTTGGAAGGCCGTGGATCCACAATATGAGGGTTGTACCCTCGACCCTCCACCAGGTTTTGAAGTTCCCAACATCGGAGGGAATCAAAACGGTCTACTGGGAGCAACCGGTCGCAAAAGAAATATTTGTCGTCGATGAAGTAATTTTGATATCATCATTATTATCAGTAAAAGGATCAGATTTGAAGGAGGAACGGAATACCAAATAGCAATCACAAACGACAGCTTCGACCCAATTAGCGAATCAGAAGACTGATGAAGATGATGAACATAGGATCCATCGATCTTTCATGGTTCCCAATGATTCCGACGCCACCCAATCAACAATCGAAGAACTGGATCAAGTCATACTAATCGAATATCTGCCTGAACGAAAGGTATACCTGGGGACCGGGTTAGATCCCGAGCTCAGGAGAAAGCTTATTTAATTTCTTATAGCTAACATAGACTGTTTCGCTTGGTCCCATCTTGACATGACAGGGATCCCACCGGAAATCACCACTCATAAGTTAAGCTTGGACCCAAAATTTCACTCGGTAAAACAAAAAAGAAGGCCCCAGTCCGAGGTCAAACATGCCTTCATCAAATACGAGGTAACCAAACTTCTTAAAATAGGGTCCATTCGGGAAGTAAAGTACCCTGAATGGCTAGCAAATGTGGTGGTAGTCCCTAAAAGGGGGAACAAGCTCAGAATGTGTATAGATTATAAAAACATGAATAAAGCATGCCCTATGGATTCTTTTCCTTTGCCTAATATCGATCGTATGATCAATGCCACGGCCGGCCACGAGACTCTCAGTTTTCTCGATGCCTATTCCGAATATAACCAAATACAGATGAACCCGGGGATCAGGAAAATACCTTATTTATCACTAAGTACGGGGACTCACTGTTATAATGTAATGCCATTTGGCCTAAAAATTGCTGGTGCAACTTATCAACGCCTAATAAACAGAATGTTCGAAAAGCAAATAGGAAAATCAATAGAAGTTTATATTGATGACATGTTAGTTAAATCCCTGCGAGTAGATGACCATTTAAAGCATTTACAGGAAACTTTCGACATACTAAGGGAGTACAATATGAAGCTCAATCCCGAAAAATAAGCTTTCGGGGTTGGCTCGGGCAAATTTCTCGGTTTCATGATGTCCAATCGAGGAATCGAGATTAACCCCGATAAAATCAAAGCAATCGATGACATCACAGTGGTAGATAATGTAAAGGTCATGCAAAGGTTAACGGGACGGGTAACCGCCCTGGGACGATTCATTTCGAGATCCTCGGATATGAGCCACTGATATTTCTCTTTGCTTAAAAAGAAAAGTAATTTTTCATGGACTTCGGAATGTCAGCAGGCTTTGGAAGAGCTAACACGGTATTTATTGAGCCCTCCGTTGCTTCATACCCCGAAGGCAGACGAATAGCTTTATCTGCATCTAGCTGTATCGTAGATAGCGGTAAGTGGAGTCCTAATTCGAGAAGAACGAGGTACGCAATTTTCTATTTATTATGTCAGTCAAACTTTAGGCGAGGCCGAAACTAGATATCCACACTTAGAAAAATTAGCGCTTGATTTAATAAGTGCCTCTAAGAAACTAAAACCATATTTCTAGTGCCATCCAATACATGTTGTAACAACTTATCCTTTACGAAATATTTTACACAAACCTGAGCTTTCAGGTCGATTGGCCAAATGGGCCATAGAGAATGGCGGGTACGACATCGAGTATCGACCTCGAACCGCTATCAAATCTCAAATATTAACGGACTTCGTGGCTG